GGTAACCTTTTCAAATAAAACCCTGACAAACACGTGGGCCATAGCTCTGATTAAAAGCGATACGGATTGCGATGAGAATAAATACAGCATTTGAGAGTACATGATACATATCTGGAGTAAACGACGCATATACTTACATCATTTGCTAAAAATATCTGACATATTCAAAGATTGGTTTTTGACCTACGACGTCACAATCTCAATTTTTCAGGGGGGAATTTAGCGCGAAGAATATCAGGGCTATGAGGGTACATAAGCTGTTTTCTTTATCGGCTCACACGTTTCTCTGTATTTCGTTCTGGAATAGTTCTTAAATAAACCTGAGTAATTTTTCCCTCTGGAATGTGGTATAGGGAGAGAATCGTGTGAGCATGTGACGAGCATAGTTTATGTACTTTCGTGATATTCACCCTGAATTATGACTGAAAATTAGAGAAGTGAGATTCGAACTGGATTCTGAAAAAATATTTCTAAATGAGGTAAAAATAGTGATTTTCTCCGAGCACAACTGGAGAAGGCCATCACCGAACGTAAACAGTAATCGTCCTATGTGCAAAGTTCACCGACGGTGAACGCTCTTTACGACTCTGTCTACGCATCATAAATGGTTATTTGCTCATTCACCTGCCCATGCCCGTCAAGTTATTATTATGATAGTATTTTATTCAAGTTGTAAGATGAGAGGATGCATTAAAGAGCACAACCCAGGGTGGTTACGAACAGGATGCCAAAGGATAATATTAGGTACGATTGTGACGTGCCTGGCGAAGATCAATTGAACAAAGATGTATTAAAAATGGGCGGGATTACAAACAGAAATACACAATACAATACATGATAAAGGAAAAAGCAATCAAAATTATATACAAGCATGTAAAATACACGACTGCACAGCTTTGACTGCCCTGATTTTAAACTATAGAAATTAATGAACGAGAACTCAGTCGCGACCACAAGTCACGCATGAAATGAGACCAATAGAATTCTCCAAGTTTCCAAAAATAGCAGTTTCACCCTTCCGCTTTTCATTTTCAAATACGCACTAAAAAAGCTCGACGTTTGTACAAGCTTGACTCAGATTTACTTATTGAACCAATCACAGGCATGCGCATGAACATAGAATAGACGTGTATACATAGGTCGAATTATTTCCTCTAATGTGATGAGTAAAATCTGAGTTGCTCCATTTTGTCAATTATGTAACCAAATGATGCAAACGGACTTTTATTAAATCCCTATTCCCTCGTATGAAAACGACCTACCATGAACCCGAGCTAGTGAGCATAGCAACAGAATACAAACTGGGATTGGGACGCCCAGTATTTCTAAGCAGTGAACAATAAATAGCTTGGTTTTCAATACTATTCTCAAATTTGCTGTGGAAAACGATTAATTGGTGATTTCCAATGAACCCTGCTCAAAGGTTTTAAACGGCTTTAACATTCTCTTGCTTAGATGTTTTATTTCTTTTTTATGTATTGAGCATATAAAACATACAAACAACTTTCAGGAACGGGTTGTGGAAATATAGAAATGAGGAATATATTCGATCGTGGCGGTGTTCTAACTCCAGACCTCTAGACCGCAGTTTGGAATAACTTAACCACCGCCGTCCAACCTAATAGGAAGCTACTAGAAAAATCCTCTCGGCTAGATGTCCTTCACACCAACNAACATATGACTCCGAAAGCCTCAGTGTGGTCGAAGGTGAGCGTCTCGGGTTACGGTTGGTCATCCCTTCCTGGCACCTCACGAATTGCTCCCCAACGATGAAGCGTTTCGAACAGCCGCTGCTGAGTGGGCCCTGTTCACTACCTTCTCATGGAGGTGTTTTCCAACTAAAAATAGAGGACGAACAGCCAATATCCGGGGATAGAACCAGGTCGGTGAAACACTGGCAGTTCCTCTAGGAGAGTTGTCTAAAAACCCTAATTCCTAACCAACCAAATGGAGGCGTACGAACCACACACCTTTCCAGTGGTGGTAGTGGTCATCATCTGGTTTTGTAGCGCAAAACCCCTTTGACACCATTCCGATTGAGTATTAAGTTCTCAAGCTTTAAAGAATGAGCAGTGCGTTTCTGGATGGACACTACGATACAATATCGATTTCGCAGAAGTCAAGAAAACGGGCTGAATTGATGCTGACTTCGTGCATGATAACTGGCAACCGAAACCTATTGACCGAGTTAACGGAGATATTTCATCAAACTGAACGGTTGGAAGGTGCAATATCTGACCATAAATTTATGATCACAAACTGCAGTATGCGTGTGTACATTTGAAGCAAAATGATCCAGGGTGCATTAAGAAAACCTATTTTTAAATTTTTAATTCTAAATCGTGGCTGTAAAAACTGCTTTACAACTGTGAAGTGATATTAAATGTTTATCTGGCACGAAAACTGGATTAATTGATTACGGAGATCTATAAGGAAACATGAAGAATATATCTGGTTCTTCTTTTTAATTAGAAAACGGTTTACCACAAATGTTTGACACCTGATGCACGAGATGACGGCAATTTGTATGTGCTCTGACAGATAGACTCAGTTCGTTGCTACTTTATGACGCAGAGATCCAATTGTTACATATGAAAGATAAGCGTCGGCCACCAGAGTTAGGGCAGCATAGCCGAAGTCTGATGGAAAAATCAGACAAGCGATGACGGCTTCCATTAAATCGATCTTTTTTCAATCCGAAGTTCTTTCGTATGGATTTCACAAACAAAAACCCGGAAAAATATAAATCGCGTTTTTCCATTAATCTATCTACCACCTGCACGTCATCACAGAGCTTGTCTATTGCTGACCCATGCACCAGTCAACGACCGAGCGCAATGAAGTGTAATCACCATCATTCTATAGGCTAGGTTTGGAAGCACATCAGCAACATAAGTGGTAATAAGATCACCATCAGTCAGAACAACACCAACTAAATTGTAGTGTTGCGGTCGCCTGACGAAAGAATGAAGCAACGTGAACTATGACAGGCCAGAGGTAAGACTAGGTCGGATTGCTGGACAGACAGGTAGGCCGGGACATAAACGAGCACAAACATCATGAGATAGACACATGCGCGCACATGGACCGATGGAAACTATTGGCCTCGATCAGGCTGAGACGTTTCGGACAAGGGATAGCGTTTATTCAACCGACCAAAATGGGTCAGACAGGCGGAGGAATAAATAGGAGAAAAAGGGAGTAACCCAGCCCCGGGGACGCACAGGCACACATTTCTACTAAGAGCCCTCACCACACAGTTGCTGTTGGCCCGTCAGTCAGCTGTTTGTCCGTCTATCTGTCTGTCGACTACTTTGCCACATCTGGCCTCAGCGGGACGGGGCACGATTGATGACTGTGAACCCGAGAGCGCATTGTCCTCGCCGAGGGTTGGAAATCCACGTATATACACACACGCACACACACATAAACACATCATCTATCTATTCATTTTGTCCAAGGACACGCGGGGTTAGGAAAGTCGAACGAGGAAAGTGGGCAAACAAGTCAGCTTGTGAACAAAAAAAAGAATACGGACAAGCGTGAAGGTCGTTCTAGAAAAAAGGGAACGAGGATTGTCGATACTTCCGGAAAAGGACAATAGTCACGGGACAAAAGAGCATAGTACTTTAAGTACCTGCGAGAAATACTTTGCACGGACGAGGTCAGAGAAAATATAGTGCAACATTGTAGCAATGATAGCTTATAAGTAACCATGATTACCAGAACAATCGAAAATGTTTTTTAAAATATTGAGTATTTCGACACAGTAAGTCATGCATACGCCGCTTGTAAATGAATGTTAATAAACAAAACTGGTGATAATCAGCGGCTTTTCGTGTCAAACCAGCCGAGTGCACTTCTCATTCGAGTCGTAAAATACGCAAAGAACCATTTCCTTCAACGAAGGACGAGGCCTGATTCTTGTTTAAAGAAACACTTTCGCCCAATGTGACTCGCAAAGATTATAGTTAAGAAATCCTACTCGTAAGCTTTTCAATGAGGGAGGGGGGATTTCACTGAAGTGAAAGCGCACGGTCAACAACTGTGACCATCACTAGTTTCGTGAATGAAAGGTAGTTAGTTCATTCGAACGCGCAAGGAAATCATAGTTGCAAACCTACCGACAAACCGGCCTCAGTATAGTAGGAATGTTAGGTTTGTTTTCAGTATACTCTGATCGCGATGGTCCTCGGCTCAACTGCACAGCTTTGAGGGGTAAACCGTACGCTAGGTACATTCAACGGAATGAAAACTTCAGCTCTTAATGAAATTCACTGACAAGCGCTATGGTTACTGAAACGTGGATCACGAAACACAGCACAACAAAATCGCCAATAGTGGAAAAAACTACTGCAGAATGAATTTCATCTCTTTTACAGTCCAGAAAACACAACAAAACCACTTGTGTCTTTTGAATTGATAGCCTTCAGGAGTGTGAAAATGACCAATTGAAAAACTTAGTGTCACTGAAATGAACGTCTTTTGTTTAGATATTTGTTTACGCTTGCTAGTCCAAGCTGTTTTGTAAAGTAGACGCGATTGGCTGCCCTTACGCCCGAGGACGACATATCTTTCGCGATTGAGGAGTAACTCAGTTGCACGAAACAAATATGTAAGACAAACAAAGTATCTAGAAAACGCGCAAAACATTGAACAGTTGGATAAACTGAAAATATGATCAGGAGTATGGTCCAGAATGTCATTACTACAGTGATTACATTGGGAGGTATGCTTATTTGCTCACGGACAGTAATTTCTTACTTCTGCGCTCCTCACATAGCTGAGCAAACAGTAAAACACAATCAGAAAGTAAGAACAAGTGTAACTTTGATGACTGAAACTTGCATTTGAAACCGCAGATAAACATCATTTCACTTATGAAACTCAATGTAGATTAAGGACGATACAGAACAGCTTTGATCAAAGCTCTCGGGTGAACAGTTTGTCAAATAGTATGGCTCTCTATGCAACAGTAATAAACAAGGATGTGAAAAGTGCACCGAAACACGTCAGAAGTAACAAATCTATACGGCGTCGATCAGCTCCATCGGTTTGTGTGTGTGTACATATTCGAGTGGGAGAGGATAGCGGTAATCGAGAACTATTACTGCAGATGATGCGATATAGGCCCACAGGTACGAATACATTTTGCAACAGATGCATCGCACGGTGCGATGAATTAGTGGATGCTGCAGAGCGTGAATCTAAATGATAGTGTAGGTAGTGATAACGCTCACGAAGAAACCCCACAGATCATGTAGAACTGCATATACCGATGAACACTCACGACTGAACTTTGACATCCGCAAACAGCAGTAAAACAGTACTTACAACAAGCACGTTTCCGAAAAACCACAGTAGTCAATGAGAGTTAATAATTGTTGCGTTGACGATCTCGAACATCTATTTGGAAGAGTGAATCCTCGCACAATAAACACAGAGTCCAACGGAAAATTACAGACCATTAGAAAAATATCTGACCATGACTATATCCCTTGGACTGTACGACGGTGATTTTGTTGGTGGCTAGTTCCTCTATAGAAATGACCATCAGAAAAAAGGAAACTGAGTCGATCAACCTGTTCACAGTGAACTTTATATTTTCAAAGGAGTGGCACCCTTCATTTCCAGCGAAATACGAGAACGGTGACCCGAGAAAAAACTTCCGAATGGAATTAGGCAATAGTCCCGGCAACAACTGACAATAATTTATAAGTGTGAGACAATTCTTTATAGCCGCTAAACTAAAGGTGTTATTTCATGAAATAAAATAAATCAACAAAACTGACACGAGCCGAAGTTCTGTGTGGTATGCAACAGAGAAGAACATTACCATTCTGACGTTACAACCTTAATGAGGGAATAAACTGCAGTACGTATCATTTCCGACAAGCTAGCAATGTTCACACCATTACATTTCATTTGAATCAAACAGGGTATGCAACCATACTTCGGAAGTATCATCAGTAACAAGTATCTGTGCTTCAGGAAACTTTTTCACTTTCTTAGATTCTATGACGAAACTCAGTTAACGACTTAGAATAATGAATTAGGATATCAAGGTAAGTATACACATAATATCCTCATTGTCAAATGGAACTCTATTTTTGGCATTTTCTTAACCGTACAAATACATGAACTGCGGAAAATCAACCCTCCCAAGAGAATAGACGTCATTCGGACTAGAGTTCAAGAAAAGTTAAGAAAAGAGGCGATGAACATCTATTTTTGGTTTCCTAGCGAAGTAGCAGAAAAGGCAGAAAACGGTGAACAAGATGAACTCACCATCGATGGTACAGAACTCGCCCGGTGGAGTCCATCAGGGTAATGAGAACATTTGAGAGACGGTTTTGAAAAGGATCCTCAGGTTTCCCTTTATCCAATACTCGGTCAGGCATGATAATGAAATCCGGGGAAAGTTGTATTCGTAATGTACCGTTCGGACGAGGAACCAAATCCGGATAATGAACGATGAAGGAGGTAGAGTTGGGATTTATGGGGAGCAAGGCAGTATCAACCGGATGGGAGAGCGGATGAGTGTCCGGACTAAGTGGCCAAATTATTGCGTTCTCATCATGCAACGGAACACGGGCAGGGTGCTGAGTCAGTTTTGACGAGTTTGATCCGGAGTTATCCGATTCGAATGCCATGCGCTACGATGAAAAGAACGTAAATTATAGCAGTTACGATGACGGCATACTATTTTTGATGTGAGAGCCCTAAGTATTTATTCTACGATGTGACAAAGGCAACGGAAAGGAAACAACAGCAACAACATATACATTGTGCATGTAAGGGTGGCACACCTGAAAGTGGTGCGCTCAGACACACCGATCAGAGCGGCACCCAAACCAAACACTCATAGCAGTTCAGGCGCATTTTTGACGGTTCTGAGAATCATAAAAACAATAACACTCGAATTTAGAAATAAGCGACTTTCAAGTATGCTGCCCCTTTTGGTGCACAAATTATTTGTTAATGGTGTTGATTAGTTGCTATTTGGAAAAAGACTAGATGTGAGGAGTAACTGATAATCACTTATTACGGGACGCATTTAAATACACTGCACAGACAAATACGGTTACCAGCGATTTCGGACAGTCTTTTTTGATTCGTGTTGATCTTTCATGGAGAGCCATCCAGGAAGGAAAGAATTCCCAACAGCTACTAGCCTCACAGTTATTGTTTTCACTGTCCGATTGTACGGATGAAAAAGACAGGTTGAGCATATAATACATGGCAGATTAAGTAAAGAGCTGGTATCGACAAGAAAAGACGAGTAGGGTCCAACATGACAAAAAATGTGGCATGATGTTCATACGTGAGTATAAAAATGTATGTGAAGTGCTTTGCATATAGACGGTTCATCTGTTTCGATACAGTATCCTTCTGTAGAACTGAGACAGAGTTTATGTGATGAAACGAAGACAACGCGCGGACAAATGATATGAAATTATTGTGGTAGGCAGCTTTGCTGACATCTGGCTCAGTATCGCGCCTGTGTCGGTAGGGTTTCCAGAGGATCTCCAATCCGTATACCGTGGCTTAGGTTGTCAGCATTCGTGGATAAACTATGAGACCTCGTGACTATAGGGTTTATTTAGTCCACACTTTTTTTAAATTCAAGTTGTCGAACATCATTTCATGACATCTGGGTGTCATTAAAGGTTTTTC